ACAGTGTATCCACCTTTTATCAAGAGTCTTCCATAATAACTCATTGCATCAAGATTTTCTGCATCCGCAGCTTTTTTCAACATTTCTGCACCAATACTTATTGGATTATTCTTATGACGTTCAGCAGAATATCCTGTAAATAATAACTTGGCATACAAAAATTGAGCATCAGAATGACCTTTTTCAGCAGCTTCTGATAAATATTTTACACTATTTTTAAATTTCGGTTTTCCATCATCATGTCCTTTGTAATAGAATAATCCAACCCAATAGTTTGCGATAGGATCATTATTATGTTCAGAGTGCGCCTTAAAAATTGCAAACGCTTTTTTATATTTTCTTTCATTATAGAAAGAGATGGCATCTTCCAAAGTATGTAATAATGTAGGTGGTGGTTTATTAGAAGTCGTTGATTCTGGTTTTGAAGATAACTTTGGAGATGTGATAGCAGAATAAAGGTGATCTTGTGACACAGTTGACACAGAATTCAAAGATAAAGTACGTGAAGGAGTCTTATCGTTAAAATCAAAATCATCACGGTTTGTTGCATTTGTGGTAAAATCAGGGACGACGATAGTAGAATCATCATTCCATTCATTCGATAATACATTAGATTCAAGTTCCAATTCCGTATCAACTTTATTAGTTAAGGAAGAAGTTTCGGATACTTTTTGATTGAATGTCATGTCCAAATTATTGGCAAAATAAGAAGTTTCGGAAACTTTTTTAATATCTTGACCATTCTTAAAATCTGATTTTAGAATTTTAAGAATCTTAAAAATTTCATCCATTGTTGGACGATCATCAGGGTTTTGTGCCCATCCTTTTATCATTAAATCTTGATAAACGATCGGAGTTCCTGCTATTGATTCAGGTTTAGGACGTTTATTGACTATTTTGTAAATATATTCATCAGATATTAAATCAAAAGGTAACTTTTCAGCTGATAACTCCCAAAGGATTATTGAGAAGCTGTATACTTCGCTTGAGGGTTCATGTATCTTGGATGTCCAGACCTCTGGTGCAGACCATCTATTTTAATCAACAAATGTATTGATCGTTGATATGAAGGAATATAACGATAACGATAAGAATAAAAAGCAGATAACGATAATGTGGCTTATATATACATACCTTGTAAGGCAGTCAGTAGATGATGATCCTCCAGGGACACGGAAATTGTAAAGCATTGGTTCTAGGTTATAAGTCAGTAAGATGTTCTCACTAAAAATGAAAATTTTTTGATCAACTTATTTATAAATAAATAAAAAGAATCGACTATGGTGCCTTTACTACATATTTATGATACGTCACCTACTAAGATCATAATGCATTTTTCCTTGTTGATGAGTATGTCGTAGAGCATTAGCGATACCACAAGCAATCGAAACTTTTTGCTTCCAATCAAGTTGTCCTTTTTCAGACAAAAGTAAATCTTTAAGCTTGAATTCCCCCCAACCGGTAATCATGTAGAAATAAAGACCTCTTGTAACATATCCATAACTATTAACGTTAAATAAATTAATAAATACGTATGTAAATGCACACGACTCTATCGATTAATTTGAATACTTACTATCGTATTATGTTATCACAACCTTTAGCCAATTCTTGGATATATTCAACCTCTTTATTAATTTCTTGTTCGTAATATCCACCTTGAATGTAAATTTTATGACCTCTAACAACTCTAGCAACATAGATATCTTCTTTTATATAATAAAATTTTTCACCATATTCGTTTTCGATTCCCGAATACTTGAAGTCTTTATTATACAATTGTAGGCTACTATTAGATTTTTTTTGATTTTGTTGAGTGTTCATAGAATCAATTGGTTTTTCGGTGGTAGAAGTTTGTGAATCGCCTAAAGGTTTTGGAGTTTGAGGTTTTACGATTAAATTAAAGAGACTTCTTGAAGAGGAAGAAATAGAAGTCGTAGGAGTTTTTTGAATTTGAGAATTCGGAATAAGGTTGAAGAGATTTTTCGTAGATGAAAAAGTTGGGGTAAGTTGAGATTTTTGAGTTTGATTTTTTGAAGTACTAAAGTTGTAGAAGCATTTCGTAGAATAAGGAGAAAATGGAGACAACATTTCGATTATTTACAGTAAATGTTACTCGATCAACGAGTGTCAAAAAGGAATTAGGGAATTAGGGAATTAGGAATGAAAGTTCGTATATAAATGACCCGATCAACGAGAGTCAAAAACTATTTTGGAGGTGAGAACTGAGACTGAACACGTATATGTAACGGGATCTCCTAATAACTTTTTCAAGATGTATAGGGATGAGATTTTTGCCGAGATGTTCGCCTATCTCTTTTTATACACGTAAAATACAAACTTAATGGAAAAACAAACATTAAATGCATCATTATAGTTTAACTTGCAACACAACACTGACGCTAAGCACAAACTCCGTTAATTCATTTTATAACCAATTATATCTTTTTTCGTTATCGTTGTTTTCAGCATTCAATGCAATATCTATATTTTGGGGTGTTACTGACAATCCGGTTCAGAGACTGTTTTCTTAATATGAGTTCAATTGTGTTTTGTGTCCTAGTATTGCGATTTAAAATTTTCTATATATGGATTTAGGCTTACTTGAACTTTATTTAACATACGATAGTGTAACTCCCCTGTTCGATCAAATTCGATGCATAAATCACCCATAAGCAAGGTACTAGGATGGATGAAACAAGAGTGACCCTATAAAACTAATATACGTCAGAGAATACGTATATATGAACAAAGCTTACGGATAAAAAAATCTGGTTAACTATTGTGTTAAGATTTTCTATTTGTTTTTTTCTAATTGGTGTTAACATTATGTTCTAATTACAATTGTGCACAATTTAGGAAATACTATTTTTAGACCTTTTTAAAATATATACCGATACGCATATTTTGTAATTTATGTACGTACGTACGTACATACTTGGTCCGTGATATTTCCTTAAACTATTGACGAACGATCTACTAAGGATACATAATCGTCATAAAACAAAGGTCAACAAGGGATTTGATAGTGACGATAATGGCATGAATGAATTCTTTACCGCATCAATGCAAGCATAGCATAGTCGCACATGATTATCTTTTTTTTTTTGAATATTCATTCAACATAATAAATAAATATAACAAGGTTTTTAACTATCTTAGAATATAAAACGGTTTAACAGTTTTTCTTTTTTTTTGAACTCAATAATTTTATTTTCTTTGTTAGTCTCTTTTTTCGTTCTATATTATTGATGCAATTTTTTTTATTACCATTTTTAATAATACTAAATTCGGTTAGAGTTAGTGAGTTCTAGACCAATGTTTATAAACTTCAATAAACAAGAAAATTTTTATTTGAAATTTAGGATCTCTTGCAAATCAATTGATTAATAATTTGAATAATAATTCATTTTATTAACGATACCATCAATACGGCAAGGGATCCGAAATTTAAAATATTGAGTTTTGAATTCGACATTTATAAATTGAATAATAAAACCAAGGTTTATTTGGTTCATCTGTACTTTAGCAGGTGAATAAAAAAACAAATTTTCATGCTAGAAAAAAACAGTTTACAGTTTCATAGGTCGAAATTTTATTGAATATCAGCCCGATATAGTAATACCATAGTTCGTATTACAATGCAGATTATGTCGTCAAAAACAAATTCAATTCTCAATTTATTTTTTGATAAAAATAGGTTATGCAAAAGTGGATTGACATTTCTTAAAAGAAATTTTCGTTAGTTAGTGTTATCATTTAGACTAAATTAATTAAAATTAATTGGAAAAGTACATCAATAAAATTTGAACCAAGGATTTTTCTTTTTTAATTCTATGGTACGAAATTTGTACCAATCATTAGCTATTATTTGGCACACAACCGCCTTTTAAAGCCTACGGATTCCTAGACTACATATTCATAGAATAAATTTTGCAAGAAAATTTTTTAAAACTGATTGTTATTTTTAGATAATAAAAAACGCATTTTTTTAACCTTTTAGTATATTGCAGATCATTTCTATATCGCGTAAAATACCTGACTGTAATGTCAAATAAAATGTACTTACATTATGATGTTCAACACTTTTGAATTTTTGTTAAATTTTAAGTTCAGGTTAAAAGTTGGAATTAAAAAAAGATGTTTTTAGATAATTTAATATAGAATTTACAATAGCTTAACTTGTTTTAGCTACCCAGTAGAACAGTGAAAGATGCACCAATCAGTTTCTTAGAACGATTGACACAAATTAGATTTTAAAATCAGGTGTAACATGTTTGACCAGTAACTCAATGAAACCGTCTTCTATGTTTTTTTCTTGCGGAATTTGATATAAGCTATGATATACATTTTTATTACATTACGTATGTTCAATTCGTTTTTGATAAGATCTGATTATTATCGAAGTGAAGAGGCTGGTTTATGTTTCTCTCATAGCTAGGGTTGGAAACAC